TGACCGGTTCAGTTCCGTGCAGCCCCACACTTGGGCCAGGACTTTGAGTGAAAAAAATCACCTCCTACAGCACTGGAGGTACAATCTAGAGTGAACAAATGCAGCATGGATGGTCACGCGTGACCGGCACGACCTTGATCGCAACACCGACCCGCTGGAACGCCGCCTCCAGCATCAGGACCACGTTCCACCCCTTTGGTTATTGCCCTGACCCTCTGGGTGTGGAATTGAACCAAGGATGCGCCTTATCTGGACCACGGACGGGCCCAGGGCAGCTTCCACAAGCTTGCGGACCCTACGGGCAGCGGCTTCCACGGGTGGAACCCTTGCAGCTCTCCGGACAGAAACACAGCGGGAATGGGGCAGATGGACCATATAGGCGGCGGCTCCTGCGGACAGAACCCCTGCAGCTTTTGCGAACCGGCCCACTGTGGCTCCCACGAGCAGATAGACCATTCGGGTGAAAACTACACACAAGCGGTATTTCTCACGGGTGGACTCCCGCAATTGGGTCCACGGTCAGCAGCTCCCGTGTGCGGACACCTTTGTCCCCCACAGACAGGCCCAAGGCAGGGACGGGACAGGCGGCGGCCTCCGCAGACAGGCAGGCCCACAGCTGGTGGTTTCCGCAGCCAGGCGGAACCTCTGCAGCTCCCGCAGGTGAGCCCATGACAGTACCAGGGCAGGCGGATCCTACAGCCAGCAGCTCCTGCAGGAGAGCAGGCCCACAGCCAGTGGTTCCCACAGCCGGACGGAACCCCTGCAGCCCACACAGACAAGCATGCCCACAAGCCGCTGGTTCCCGCAGCCGGACGGAACACCCCTGCAGCCCCCTCGGGCGAGCAGGCCCACAGCCGGTGGTTCCCGCAGCCGGACGGAACCACTGCAGCTCCCGCGGGCAGACAGGCCCCACAGCCAGTCGGAACCGCTGCAGCTCCCGCGGGCAGACAGGCCCCGCAGCCGGACGGAACCACTGCAGCTCCTGCGGGCAGACAGGCCCCACAGCCAGTCGGAACCGCTGGAGCTCCCGCGGGCGGACAGGCCCACAAGCCGGTGGTTCCCGCAGCCGGACGGAACCACTGCAGCTCCTGCGGGCAGACAGGCCCCACAGCCAGTCGGAACCGCTGGAGCTCCCGCGGGCGGACAGGCCCACAAGCCGGTGGTTCCCGCAGCCGGACGGAACCACTGCAGCTCCTGCGGGCAGACAGGCCCCACAGCCAGTCGGAACCGCTGGAGCTCCCGCGGGCGGACAGGCCCACAAGCCGGTGGTTCCCGCAGCCGGACGGAACCACTGCAGCTCCTGCGGGCAGACAGGCCCCACAGCCAGTCGGAACCGCTGGAGCTCCCGCGGGCGGACAGGCCCACAAGCCGGTGGTTCCCGCAGCCGGACGGAACCACTGCAGCTCCTGCGGGCAGACAGGCCCCACAGCCAGTCGGAACCGCTGGAGCTCCCGCGGGCGGACAGGCCCACAAGCCGGTGGTTCCCGCAGCCGGACGGAACCACTGCAGCTCCTGCGGGCAGACAGGCCCCACAGCCAGTCGGAACCGCTGGAGCTCCCGCGGGCGGACAGGCCCACAAGCCGGTGGTTCCCGCAGCCGGACGGAACCACTGCAGCTCCTGCGGGCAGACAGGCCCCACAGCCAGTCGGAACCGCTGGAGCTCCCGCGGGCGGACAGGCCCACAAGCCGGTGGTTCCCGCAGCCGGACGGAACCACTGCAGCTCCTGCGGGCAGACAGGCCCCACAGCCAGTCGGAACCGCTGGAGCTCCCGCGGGCGGACAGGCCCACAAGCCGGTGGTTCCCGCAGCCGGACGGAACCACTGCAGCTCCTGCGGGCAGACAGGCCCCACAGCCAGTCGGAACCGCTGGAGCTCCCGCGGGCGGACAGGCCCACAAGCCGGTGGTTCCCGCAGCCGGACGGAACCACTGCAGCTCCTGCGGGCAGACAGGCCCCACAGCCAGTCGGAACCGCTGGAGCTCCCGCGGGCGGACAGGCCCACAAGCCGGTGGTTCCCGCAGCCGGACGGAACCACTGCAGCTCCTGCGGGCAGACAGGCCCCACAGCCAGTCGGAACCGCTGGAGCTCCCGCGGGCGGACAGGCCCACAAGCCGGTGGTTCCCGCAGCCGGACGGAACCACTGCAGCTCCTGCGGGCAGACAGGCCCCACAGCCAGTCGGAACCGCTGGAGCTCCCGCGGGCGGACAGGCCCACAAGCCGGTGGTTCCCGCAGCCGGACGGAACCACTGCAGCTCCTGCGGGCAGACAGGCCCCACAGCCAGTCGGAACCGCTGGAGCTCCCGCGGGCGGACAGGCCCACAAGCCGGTGGTTCCCGCAGCCGGACGGAACCACTGCAGCTCCTGCGGGCAGACAGGCCCCACAGCCAGTCGGAACCGCTGGAGCTCCCGCGGGCGGACAGGCCCACAAGCCGGTGGTTCCCGCAGCCGGACGGAACCACTGCAGCTCCTGCGGGCAGACAGGCCCCACAGCCAGTCGGAACCGCTGGAGCTCCCGCGGGCGGACAGGCCCACAAGCCGGTGGTTCCCGCAGCCGGACGGAACCACTGCAGCTCCTGCGGGCAGACAGGCCCCACAGCCAGTCGGAACCGCTGGAGCTCCCGCGGGCGGACAGGCCCACAAGCCGGTGGTTCCCGCAGCCGGACGGAACCACTGCAGCTCCTGCGGGCAGACAGGCCCCACAGCCAGTCGGAACCGCTGGAGCTCCCGCGGGCGGACAGGCCCACAAGCCGGTGGTTCCCGCAGCCGGACGGAACCACTGCAGCTCCTGCGGGCAGACAGGCCCCACAGCCAGTCGGAACCGCTGGAGCTCCCGCGGGCGGACAGGCCCACAAGCCGGTGGTTCCCGCAGCCGGACGGAACCACTGCAGCTCCTGCGGGCAGACAGGCCCCACAGCCAGTCGGAACCGCTGGAGCTCCCGCGGGCGGACAGGCCCACAAGCCGGTGGTTCCCGCAGCCGGACGGAACCACTGCAGCTCCTGCGGGCAGACAGGCCCCACAGCCAGTCGGAACCGCTGGAGCTCCCGCGGGCGGACAGGCCCACAAGCCGGTGGTTTCCGCGGCCGGGCGGAACCCCTGCGGTTCCCCACAGCGGGACCGGGACGGGATGACCCCACAGGCAGCGGCTCCCGCGGGCAGATCCCGGCGATGCTGGTATCGCCTGCTCACAGCCCAGCCAGAAGTTGCCCCGAGGCATATAGTCCGTATGACTGCCGGTACAATCTCCGGAGAACCGATGAAACGTGAACACTCGGAGTAACCGGGGGCGATCCTGATATCGCCTCCGGGCTCCTGGAACTCTGCCTCGGGCAACAAGATCAAATCTCATCCCTTACCGAATGCCCCGGAGCTACGGAGGAAGGCGGCAATATAAAAGTGGCCACAAGGTGGCGACTGACAATAGGGTAAAAGTCAAAGAGAGACGCATCTGAAGGGTGGGGGCGTGGGCGAGAGAGCACCGCCGCGCCCCAACACCCCCCAACTTTATCTCGTTCATCTCCGAGAGTCTCTTGTCTGGCTCCGAGCGGGTGGAAAGCGTCCATCACGGCCCAAGGCTTCCACCGGGGACCTCCTGGCTGGCAGACCCTGGCCGCAGAAGGGGCATTTGGAAATATTTTTTTCAGAAAGCTGCGGGGAGGGGGCAGACTCCCCACGAGACTTCCCGGCGCCCTGCGGGAACGTGGAAACTCCCCGGACACGCGGGCGCGGGCTCCCGGAGGACTTATCTGCCCCCGGGCGTGGACTGACCGCAAAGCTGAAGCCTTGCAAGTCCTCAAGGGACTGCCATGGCCGAGGCGGGTTTTAGTCTACAATTGGAACCGGGTCCTGACACGGAAAACACACCCTAATCATTTTCATTTTTTCTCCACACGTTTTTGTTTTTGTGCTTTGCCTTTAAGGATCTAACAGCCAGGCTCCTTGCCTGGAGACCAGCAGACCGAGCCGGATCACACTAGTCCCAGAGCCACGTGGGTGCAGAAGCCAACAGATGAGCCACTAACCGGACAGGGGGCCGGTGTGCGCAGACCCCGCTCTTGGGAACAGTGTTCAGAGGCGAGGGGTGATTTGTGCTTGGCGGGGACCTAGATGTCACCCAATCAGACCTGCCAACCTTATGCTTTCTCTCCCGTTTCCCTTTCCTACCCTGCCTGATTGAGTTAAAAATTCTCTCTGGTCGATGTACCTGGCGAGGTGCCTGCTCCCTGGCTGAACCCTGGGGGCACAGGTGGCTCAAAAGGGGGGTGGTCAGAGTTCTCTGTGGAGTCCCCGAGTCTCTGTCAGTTTCCCTCTCACGACATTTGACAAAGGAAGGAAGCAGAGGTGGTTTGGGCCTGACCTCTCCTCCAGGCAAGAGTCTGAGCCCAAGACACAGAGCTCCTCACCTGCTCCTGATGCTCACCCCCTCCTACCTGTAGCGGTTGCTTTAATGTTAGCGAAATGCACTTGGCCATGGCCTGTGTTATGCAAAGAGCCCAGAGCACCGGCTGTGAAACACGTGGGTTTATAGCAGGACTTACGTTTGCACCGAAGTTTTCCTCTATGTCCCATCCGGCCTGCAGGTGGGACGCACCAGGGCTGCCTGCGGGTGCCATTGTTTTGCTGCAGCCCCGACTTCCCCGCTGCAGGGTTCTATAGGAGACAGAAAACTAAGCCAAGCAGGGCCCGCAGGGGGAGGAGCTGTGTCCTGGGGCAAGCGGCTACCATGAGGGCTCATGCTTAGAAGCAGTTTCTCTGTGGCCTTTCTTAGTCCAAGGAGGTGGCCAGGCTCCCATGGCCTCACAGGCGGCTTACACATTACTCGTGGCCTCACCATACCCCTTAGGGAGGGAAGGGGAGGGGGAGAACGAGAACGGGAAGGGGCCCACACTCCCATTTCCCATTCAGCATACATGTCAGATTCTCATTGAAGCAAGTTAAACAGTTACTGGAAACTGTCTGGAAGCCCAGG